TCTCCTCCAGAGCAGGCAGGGATCGAGCTCATGAAGAAGTGGCTTTAGCTTCTTTGTGCTGTGCTTTAACTCACAGCGCCAACAGGGAGGACCCTTAAATTTAATTCTTAAATAAGCAGTACAACTTCATGTTTCACAATGAAAGGAGGATATGAAAAGGCACTGAAATTTGTGCTTCTCACCCTTCTCTTTTATCAACCCAAGTACCTCTCTGAGAACTGTTGATGTTAGTGGTTTCTGGTGCCAACTTTCAGAAACGCTTTTTAAAAGATTTATTTACTTATGCATACAGAAATGGGGTACAGTGAGGGGTGCAGGGGCAACGAGAGGTTTTATCAGAAACAGAATAGGAAGCAGAACAGGCAGATCAACAAAGTACACTGCTGAGGGTGGCAGCAGGTGAGACAGGAGAGGTCTGCCCCACCATGTGGATCACCTCCAGGGTGGGGATAGAACTCACAGAAGCCACCGCAACTTACCTTCGAAAGTGCAGTGCTCTCCAACCTGCTGTGCTACCAGGGAGGCCCTCAAAAACATTTTTAACACACAAAAATATATACAGGCTGTTTTCACCCTTTAGCATATTATTGTAAGGGAAAAAGGATGTCCTGAATGAACTCTATAGATACAGGTTTTGTGAACTCCACCCCAACTCCAGACACCAGAACTACAAATCCCAGCAACCACCAAAGGAAGGACTTCTAGGATCCGAGGGTGGAGTTAAGTAGCCATTTTGAGTATTGGATATAAAACTGGACATGTTGGGCTGAGGGGTTTCTCTCCTTTTGGCCTCATGGCTGGAGGCTAGTTGCTTGGCTTTTGATTAGCTTTCAGCATGTTATTGGAGTTCCAGGTCAGTGGAACTGGTAGGACACATTAGTTAACTTATCTCTCTCTCTTTCCCTGAGTGATTCCTTTCCTTTTTCTCTTGTAAATCAACCCATTATTGACCTTTGTGTGTGTGTCTGCAGTGCAGTTGAATCTTAAGTGCACAGGTGAGGACCCACACAGATGCAACCCAATTCATGTTGGATTACCCTGTAACAGTTTGGTGCCCAATGTGGTTGACCAAGTTACACCCCAGGTTGACCACCCAAAGTACCTTCCCTTGCAATGGTCACCATCAGTGCATTAGGCCTGCAGGACATGTGGCATCTTTGTTTCAAGTCTTGAGAAATTTTTTTTTTATTGTGTTCAGTTCTTGCTTGTGGATGGTCTCAAACTTGAGTTTGAGCAGCTTTATCCCTAGCTTGTGTTCTTTCAGTTTTTTTTTCCAGCCTTAAGCTTAAGTAACCCTTTTTCCATTGAATAGTATCACCAGTTTTATAAATACGTCAATAATCTGGTGAAACCCGGCTTATGGCAAATGATTTTGGTTTTGTACTCATCCATGGGTGATTTACAAGCCTTCCGGATTTTACAATCTGTGCTTCTGGGTGTCTTATACTTATACTTTGTATAAGTATCATTTGTTACATTTTTGGCTCTGTGAGAGGTGGATACTCTGCTTCACCTACTGAGAACATGCAACAGCAAATACAAGCCCTTAATTCAGCTACTAACAGTGTGAAAAACGAGAATCGTATTGCCCTTGACTCTATTTATCAAACTATGCAAACCCAGCTACAAGGTGCTCTCCATAAATTAGATATAGCCCAGGCTCCAATCATGGCACGGAGAATGGATAAGCCTTTCCCCAAGGGCTGCAGGAGCTTGGAGTTCGAAGAGGATTATCATTTACTTAACACCTTTAACCCTTCAGGGCAAAATTCTTCTTGGCATGAAAATGCCCCTCCTGTAGAAACTCCTAAGACTCCTGTAGCCACTCCTAAGTCTTCTGTGAAAACTGCTAAGGCTTCACAGCTTCCACTGCCCTCTGGAGAACACACTAACATGACTTTCCTTCCCATACTAGGGGGGGCACCACCTTTGGCAATAAAAATTGCCTTGAAGTGGGGCAGTTCCTTCTTCAACATGTGCCAGTGGGTGGTTTAAATGCACGCAGACAACTTGCTCTGTACTTTTGATCGCATCACCCTTTCAGTACTGCAGACCTAAATTGGAGGAGCTCTATCCCTTCCTACAGACAGGATCCTAAGAGCATGGTAAACTTGTTTGCCTCTTTCTTCCTCTTTCACCATCTTAACTGGGCAGGTATTCAGTCAATGCTGCAAACTCTATTGACCTTGGATCAGCAAAGGATGATTTTCAAGAAAGTCAGGGAGGAGGCTGACCATCTCCACCAACAGGATGTAGAATCCCCAGAACCAGACGTAGCTATCCCAGTGGTAGATCCCAACTGGGACCCTAGTGAAGAGGGAATGGAAATGCTGGATCTCTATAAAAAGTGCATATTGGTAGGACTGCAGCAGGGGATTCCTAAACAAAAGAATTTCAATAAAATTTTGAAGCTTGAACAGAGAGCTAATGAGGATCAAAGTTCCTTGAGTGGATTATTCAGGTGTATGCCACTCACATGGGTAAAAATCCAGATGCCCCAGAAAATGCTCGTCTGACCACTATGGCATTCATTATGCATAGTGCCCCAGACATCAGGAGAAAGTTAGCAAAAGTGGATGGCATTACAGTGATGAGTCCATCCCAGTTAGTAAACTTGGCATTTAGAGTTTATAATAATAGGTAAGAAAGGAGACCTAAATCTATGACTGTTTTTGTACAGAGGGAACATAGGAAAATTATACCTTTACTTTCCAATGTTTATATCCTGCTTTCTTTTTCCTTACCCAGCTGCAATGGGAAATAATGGCAATTGTGGGTAACATTCTTCTCTAGTTCTTTATTTTAATTGCTTCCAATTCGATATGATGTATAGCATGTATGATAGTCACATGACACAGTGGCTGACATATCAGACAGTGCAGGTCTGGACACTGTTCTGGTAATCCAGAAAAGACAGATGTTGGATAAAGTGTGTGTGTATGTACACAAGTTTCAGAGGCAATTTTTTTTTTTAAGATTTATTTATTTGTGCATACAGAACTGGGGTACAGGCCAGAGGCTCAGGGGCGGTGAGAGGCTTCACCAGAGACAGAGTGGGGAACAGAACAGGCAGATGGACGAAGTACACTGCTGAGGGGAGCAGCGGGCGGGTCAGGAGAGGTCTGCCACGCCATGTGGTCACCTCCGGGGCAGGCGGGAATCGAACTCATGCGGAAGTGGCCTCAGATTCTCAGTGCTGTCTTTAACCCGCTGCACCACCAGGGAGGGCCCTCAGAGGCAATTTTTATTGCTTGAGTTAAGATTATTTGCATGAGCTTCCAGTGATACCTTCCTCACATACCCCCTTTCATCTGCAAAGCCTCCCAACCTCAACACAGTATTTTTCCACCTTGCTGCCTAGAGGGAAAAAGACAATCTCCTGCCACAGGTGGCAGACTGAACTAACATTACCGTAGTGTGACTTCTGGAGACTGTGAAGACTATTCAAAGCAAACTTCCAGGAAGGCCCAATAAAGCAGCCCTCCACATGTGAATGTACAAGTTAAATGTAATTAATTCAGATCCTCAGTCTCACTAGCCACTTTCCATGTGCTGAGTAAGGACAGGTGCCTAAGCTGCCACCTGGCGGGGCTCTAGGGCCTGCCACTCCCAATCCTCAACATGTGCCTATTGATTTCACAAGCCTTAAGGGTTTGGGGCTCTGCTCCTTCCAAGGGTTCCCTGCTGCCCTGGTGTGCTTGAACAGAGAGCCCACCTTGCCCTGATCCGGGCAGAAGAGCATGGAATTCTGGCTTGGAACCCAAGGCAGTCAAGGGTACACTACTACAAGAACATCCCTTCTATTATATTTACTCAGCATCTATATCTGTAAAAGGTGAAACTCGATGTAGAGGTGATGCTGAACCCCGGCTCACTCCAGCAACAAGCAAAATCCGCCTAAGTGATTTACTTGCATAACTTGAACTGAGTTTTAAGACAAAGAAGCTATTTTATTAAAAATTGTATTTCCAAAGCATTTCACCTTTTGCCTAACAGGTAGTAAAATGATGCCACATACATACACAGAGCTAATAATTCAGAACATAATTAACATTTACAAGTAAAAAGTTGTAAACTAATTTTATTACGGAGATGTATGCTATGCCAAACAGTAACTTTTAAGCAATAAAATTATTGTACAGTAGGACAGCATTAGAGGTCAGTAAAATGAAGAGATTGTAAATTGGGATTAAAAAAAAAAACCATGAGGGCTGTGGCGCCGTCACCGCCAGTTCGTGAAATTAAAATATAAGTAAAAAAAACGGAAAAGAAGTACAACTCTTCGTCTAAGTGGCTAGAATCAGTCTATCTTGGACTTGTGTTCAATAGATATGTCTAAAATGATACGCACTTTAAGCGCCAATTTTCAATGTGTGCCAATTGTTTACACTTAATCTGTCAGATATTTTGATGCCACTGCTAAATAAAGACAAAGTCACTTCGGGTCGGAGGTCACTGCCCCCCCAACGCCCGCGCAGACAGTCGGGTGTGGGTCGGGAGCTGGCGGCAAGGGCGCTCCGTACCCAGCCGCAGCCACCGGGGCTGCCCACGCGGTTCCGCGCGACCCCGCGTTCCCGGAGCAGGCGGACCCAGCCAGTGCCCGGCTCCCCTCCGCGCCCCGCCGACTATCTGCGCGCCCTCCAGCCTCACGTTCTAGTAAGTACTGTTCTCAAATACACGGGAGGTCAGGAGTTTACTTTACCGAGTCACTTATTTGCTTTACATTTCACACCCTGCTGTCACTCTTCGCCACCCCATCTAAAGTCCAGAAAACCGGACGTTTAGCCAGTATCAGAAGCTCCACAACGCCAAAGCCAGCTCCACACGGCTGGCGTCACGACCGTGACAGAACGTTCCCTCCGCGCCGACATCCTCGCGGCTCCCGCAAGTCACGTGCCCGTACGAGGGCGAATCATCGAGTTAGTCCTCCAGCCTCCCAGAGAGGACTCGGAACTGCCCCGAGCCGGAGCGGGTCCTTCCGGCCGGGACGTCTGCGCTTTTGTCCCGCCGGCGGCCCGGCTCCCGTGGCGCCGCCACAGCCAGTACGTGAGTCAGTGGCCGCCCGCGCGCCCGCCCCCCGCCTTCGCCTGCCACGCCCTCCCCTTTTTGACCCGGTCCCGGCTGCCCCTAGGGTCGCGGGGGGAATTTGGGAGGAAGCTTCGCTCATTCCCCCATACACATCTCGGAAGGCGCGTTCCTGGGAAGGGGAGGGAAGACCACACGCTGGTGGAGGGATGCAGGGAGCGCCCCTAGAACACCCTGGGCCCGAGTTGCGGCGGTCCAAACTGGGGTCGGTGGTTGCCAGGGATCCAGAGGTTCTGGGGCCTTTCTCTAGTGTTTCCCAAATACTCGCTGCTGTCTCGGGTGGACGAGAAACCCCGAAAATTAGCGCTTTAAAATAACGTTCCTATCATGCACACATTGCCGTTAAACTTGGCCCTGAAGTTGAGCGTGAATGCGAACGTTAAAGGAACTCCTAGGGAGGATCAGATTCGACCACCTCTTCCCAGTTTGCGTTTTCCTTTGATGGGGAGGAATGCTGAGATTCCTGCCCTGGGAGGTGCTTCCTGGCCTTGCCCTGGGGAAGATCACCTGTCTGCGGTCGGGTCGGCGCGCTGGCCCCAAAATGCTAGTTTGAAATTGACCAGGGAGAAGATTCTGGAGCCTTCCAGCCTGCGGGAACCCAGGAGTGGGATGTGAAAGATGAATAGGGGGTCGCGAGGTTGGGCTTGCTTCTCTAAGAGGTTTGGACTAGGGGGCAACTGGGGTATTCGCTTTTTTGAAAGCAGAGTTGTGTGTGTATATATGTGTGTTTTTAATAAGGTTTTAAATAAGTAATATATTCAGGTATTTAAAATATAAAATTATCTGTAAAAAATAGTTTGCTCCCACCTTGCCAGCTGTTTTCCTAGTTCAACCCCCTTACAGAACCACTTTTGTTATTTTGAATGTGTCCTTCCAGAGTTTGTTTATGCAAATACTGGCAAGTATGAATGTTATTTCTGCCCCCCACCTTTTTTTTTTTTAACGCAGTAACTAAATGTCCTGCCCCTTCTTTCCACTTTATCCTAGAAATCATCAGAAAACAAAGGTAATTTCGACAGTATTGTATACTTTGGATGTTTCGTAACTTTTTTTACATATATCTAGGGAATTTGAATTGGACCCAGTTTTTTCTTACTTAAGTGATGCAGTCGACCTTAAACTCGGATATATCTGATATATATTTTTTGAGATGTGATTAAATAAAAATAATTTTTGATTTATATTAATTCAGTTATTGATAGATTGCTAAATATTTTCCAAGTCATTATATTAACTGGTAGAGTTTTTGATGATCAAATAAAACTGTTCTCTCAGAGCCAAGATTTGTTTTTGTGATATTAATCCTTTACTGGCTTAGTAAACTAATTTTTTAGTGATTTTTCAAGCCAAAATCTCTCAGCCACCCTTTCAGACTCTCCTTTGCCTAGTTTATTCCCCAGGATGACTAGAAATCACTACCAGGTATGAAAAAAACTTTTCTTTTTTTACTTTAAGGAATAATCACCTTTAATCTTTATTTCTGCCTTTAAGCAATAGAACCAGCTCATATTTCTCATTTACAATTCTCGGTCATAAATTTAAAAATATTTTTAAGCACAAACCATATGTTCTCCCCATCTGCTTATCATTTCCCTCATTTTTTCCTTATTTCATCTTTCAACATTCTCTCACTTCCTAGATTCTTTTTCTTCTGAGTGGGTGAGCATTTTGGGCTCACATTCCTTCTTGTTTTGTTCTCTCTGTTTATTTCCAAGTCTAATATATCCAGTAACCTAAGGTACAGATTCAAATATGACATGCAATAATAAATTGACTTGGGGAATAGGGTTGATAACTCTGGAACACCAGAGTTAACAGCTAATGAGCAAAAATTTTTACCCAAAGTGAGCAATAATTACTCAAGATTGTGAGTTGTCAAGATTCATTGAAAAATGACTCCGGACTCTCTGGGCAGGGAAAACAAAATTAAGGCCAGCTTCTTGCTATTTGCATTATTTTTCCTAAGCATTGGTAGAACAAACACAGAAGTGCACAGAGGTTTTGGGTCAAAACCTTTCAGACCCTCTTGTACAGGTATTGTGTTTTTGGAGTTAACTGTTTTCTGTGGAATGTGGGACACATATCTACTACCGCAGTCTTCCTGATTAGATTCATAATAACTTTTCCCATGCTCCGGGACTTAATTCTCAACTCAGTCCATTGAGCCTCTGCATTTAGTATAAGTGATCTTTTTTCTTTTAGTTTTTTATTATGAAAATATAAACATAAGAAATTAGAATGACTCAGGAATGAGAGATACTGGAATACATCTTACTTGTTTATTAGGTTAGTTTGACACTTTGTTATGTTTTCTTCATTGCTTTATATTTTAACTGCTGTCTTGGTTGCCTACCTTCAGGCCTACTATGCTTACCAACATATCCCCTCTTTCTGATTCAACATTTCATGCAGCCAGTCAGATTCAACAAGATTCTGCTATAGCTATATTACTTTTCCACCTTTGATTTTGTGATTGGAGTATTTTAAAGGAAATTCCAGACATCATGCCATTTAATTCTAGCATTTGCCATGCTACCAAAAAATAAAGGACATTTAGAACCACAGTGCCATTATTTCACCATCCCAAGTTAACTCTGATTCTTTGGTATTATCCAACAGGTTGGCAAACTACTGAGCCTATGATCTGCAACCTATGAATGTTTTTGTTTTGTTGTTGTTTTATTTTATTTTAAAGGAATATATATATATATATATATATTCCTAAAATATTTTAGGACTTGCGTGCTACATACCACTATGTCATTTATTTTTCATTCTTTCTTTATAGAAATAACATGGTGATGTGTAGCACGCAAGTCCTAAAATATTTTTTCTCTGGCCCATTGTAGAAAAATTGAGTAACTCCTGGTGTTATAGAATAAATGATATTCCAGAATTCTTATCTGAGTTTGCTACTCCTCTTTCTAAAATTCCTGAGCATCAGGTTTGTGCTGTAGTCTGAGGGACAAACTCTTGTGTAGCCTTTATTTTTCCCACCTGTCCTATGGTACCTGATGTCCTCTGTTCTAGATGTGTATGACATAGTAAACATAACACCAGCTCTTCCTGAAGCTCTCCCTGGCACTTCAAATCAGAGTGAATCCCTTCCCCGTTCTCACTCATATGCCTTTGGCACACCTCTGCAATTTTTTGGCATATTAGTTATTTTCCTGCCACACTTTCCTGCTAGTCTGTACTATATTTGATCACAGGGCTTTGTTTTATCCTTCTTTGTTCCTCAGGGCCAGACCAGTGCCTTAGCAGGATATGAACTATAAGTTCCTGAGGTAGAACACAGCCTCAGGAATCACACACACTGGATCTTCACTTTTATTTATAAGGATACCTTAATATTTTGTTGCATTTTCTTTATTTACATTTTAGCAGCTGTCTTAGTCTGTTCAGTCTGTTATTGCAAAATGCCATGGACTGGGTGACTTGTAAATAACAAAAATTAATAAAAATAAAAGTAAACTAATCCTATTTATGAAGCATCCATGACCTGCGCACCTCCCATGGGGCTCACTTCTAACAGCTATGTCTTTGGGGGTTAGAGTTTCTACATGAAATTTGGGGTAGGGAAATATAACAGCTGTAGTTTCCATAATTCTAGTTTTATATATCTCTGCTTTTCTGTAAATAAGCAAGATGGTAAAAGCAGTGCATGGAGGGAAAGGTGTCTCTGTGGGAACTTTAATTTTTTTAACATATTCAAAACTTTATTGAGAAATTTCAAATATACAGAAAAATTTCAGGAATAAGAATAGTAAAAATATCTTTTAGGCCCTCCCTGGTGGCGCAGTGGGTTAAAGCACAGCACTGAGAAGCTAAAGCCACTTCCCCATGAGTTCGATTCCCGCCTGCCCTGGAGGTGACCACATGGCGTGGCAGACTTCTCCTGACCCACCTGCTGCTCCCCTCAGCAGTGTACTTCGTTGATCTGCCTGTTCTGCTCCCCACTCTGTCTCTAGTGAAGTCTCTCACCGCCCCTGAGCCTCTGGCCTATACCCCAGCTCTGTATGCACAAATAAATAAATCTTTAAAAAAAAAATCTTTTAGTCATAAGCTCTTACACTTAATAATATATTTCATTTTATCTTCTCCCTCTTGCTTTTTCAAACATAATATTTTTTTTCTAAACTTTTTGAGGGTGATTTATTTGGATCATAGCTCTTTACCATTAAATACTTAAGTATATGTTTACTAAGGATAAGACTATTTTCTTACATAACTACAGTACAGTACAGTACAGTACAGTGTCAATGAATTCATTGGCACTAATTTTATCTAATTTACCATCCTTATTCCAATTTTGTCAATTGATAAAATTATTTTTGTAGCAGTTTTTCCATCCAGTACAGACCCATTCTAGATCAAGTATTATTTAGTGCCCAAGTCTGTAACTTTCCTGTGGAACATTCCTCTAATATGAGAGAGAGAGACTTTTGAAAATGATACCTATACCTTTTAGTAGAAATTTCTTCATTTTGGGTTTACCTAGTAATTCAGTTCAGGTAATACTTTCTTGTAAATGAGGCGTCCGCATGCTGTCACTTCTGAAAGCACATGTCCATCTCCCCCTTGGTGGTGATAATTGAGATTACCTGGCCAAGGCATTGTGTAATTTTCCCACTGTGTAATTACTATTTTATACCTTGCCATCTGTGAGGGGATATTTTAAGACCATGTAGATACTCTTCTTTTGTCAAAATTTCCCCCTAGACTCAGATAATTCTGATAGCTGTAGAATACGCTCCTCCCAGCCTCCCCCCCAGCCCTCCTGCTCTCACCACATTTTCCAACTGGCATTCTGTTACAAGCAAGAGGCTGCCCCTTCTCGCATGTTTGTATCTGAATGAACTCATGAAGTCCTATTTTGAGAGATTCATAATTCACTGTTACTTTTATTAGGGTGCCTACAAGTGGTGATCAACCTGGCTCTTGTGGCCTTATGACATGCCCACATGTGTCTTTGAGTATCTCCTTAGCCTGCTATCTCCTTAGCCTGCACAGCATGTGCTACCCCTGGTCTCCTTAATAGGTCATGGTAGAGATTGGGGACAGGGGGGTTGCTATTTGTGCTTCTTGACTCTGTAGAGAAAATTAGGGAATACATGTGCATCTATGTACATATGCATGTGAATATGCATACATGTAAATATATGTAATCTGTATTATATGCATAATAGAAATCATGAGTTTACAACAGTAGCTCTAGTTCATCTGCACAAGATTCTTGCTGTTCCTTGTCTCTTCTTAGCTGTCCTCTAGGAGAGCTCTTGTTGGCAACTCAATCCACACATTTACTGAGTCCCATGGCATTTGTAAAATTGCCTTAGAGGTGTTTCACCCACCCCACTGCAGCTGGTCTCCAATGCCTCCCCCTCCCCCACTAGCCTTTCCAAGACAGTGTGTTTATATATAGTCACATGAATTAAGTAGGTTAATTATTTGTTTCTTGATTCCCTTCCAGTGGTTACTATATTCATGTCAACACAAATGAATTCATTTGTTACTGTTTGCTTCTGTTTTAGCTGCTCCATACCTCTCCTCCATTCTTATTGATTTAATTTTATTCTTTGAATCTCCAGAATATTATCATGCTTCTATAAGTAAAAATATACCAAAAGCTCAGAGTGTTTCTCTCCCCTGTTCTTTCTTCTCTAATTCCTCACCCTTTTTAAATAGTAGACTTCATTCATTTCTGACTCTTGTCATTATTATAAAAAGAAGCAAATATATTTTGTTATTGTTGTTGTTTTCCTTCTTTCATATTCCCTTTTTTTTCACATTACAGTACAGCCTGGAAATGATGTCCTATCAATTTACAGAGATAGTCCTTGTTCTTTTTAAATATTTCATTGTGTCTAGCCACTCACATATGCTTGGATCTTTTAGGCAGTTTTCCAGAGTTTGTAGTTACAGATACGTTATAGGGCTAAGTTTGTGCATATGTCCTTTTATATTGTATCTTAGGTGTCCATACTAGAAGTGGAATTTCTGGTTTGGAAGTATAAATTCATTCATAAATAGTTGTATTAGATACTAACAAACTCCCCCTTCACAGCATTTATGCAGGGTTGGAGAGTAACATGTTTCCCTGTGACCTCACCAGCACAGTATATTGCCAACATGAGAGATGGTATCTTATTTGCATTTCTTTTGTGAGTGGAATTGAAAACATGTAAGGGCCCCATTTAATATTTCGTTTTGCAGATTGTACATGTCCTTTGCCCATTGGCTCTTCAACTGTTAAAAATTCTTTATCTGTTAGGGAAAATAATCCTTATATACTGTGTTTTACAAATATTTTCTGCAACATTTATTTACCACTTTTATTTATGGTATTTTGCCATGCAGTTTTATTTTTATGTAGTGAAATTTATCAGTCTTTTTTTTTTTTTTGCATATGGGTAACCCAAGTTATCAAGGCACTCTTATTCTAGTATTTCTTTAGTGTTTTTTTTATGTATAGAGCTCAACTCCATTTGGTTTATTCCTGTGTGTAATGCAAAAAGTGGTTCTAATTTTATCTTTATTTCAAATGACTTTCTAGTTCCAATTAAGTACAAAAATCCAACAGTTCAATATACTATCTTATCATGTACTTAATTTCTATGCGTAATTAGGACTATTTCTGAACCTTCTATTTTATTACATTTAATCTGCCTATACCACATCATACTATTGTTATAGAGACTTTCTATTAACTTTGTTTTTAATATTAGTATGGTAGTCTGCCCTCATTGCTTCCCTTTTTTCACTAGCAATTATTTGTGTGTGTTCCTTATAAGGGATTTCATCAGTTAAAAAAATATTTTATTTACTTATGCATAAAGAACTGGGGTGTAGGCTAGAGGTACAGGGGGTAAGAGGGCTCACCAGAAACAGAGTGGGGAGCAAAACAGGCAGAGCTACTGAAATACACTGCTAAGGAGAGTAGTGGGTAAATCAGGAAAGTCTGATACACCGTGAGGGTCAGCTCCCTGGAATCAAACTGAGGCCATAGCAGTGGTAACATGATAGTGCTGAGACTTAATCCCTATTCCACCAAGTAATGCCCTGGGATTTCATTTTTTTTTTTTGACTGTAGGAACTCAAACATTTTTCTTACCTGAGGCCTAAGAGTAAGTCAGGGTGTAAAGGGCAAGACTAAAGGGAATGGATGGAGCAGAGCCCCTGATAATGTGTTGAAGCAGAATTCATAGCACAAATAAAAGTTGTGTAGCTGTTGGTAGTTGTAGCATTCCACTGCCCATCCAATTGCGCTCATATTCAAATGATGTGGACTACAATGCCTAAAATATTAAATGAAGTTGTGCTGCTATTTTCAGTGACCTCTGATGATTTCTTACCTAATATCACTTAATAATCATTTTGTAATGCTTGCTCAGCTAAACCACTTTTAGTCTAATGTCTCCTGAATGGTATTTTATTTTATTTCCATGGTGATATTCTGAGTTCATAGCTTTAATTGTCATTACTAACTATTTTAATTTGGAACCATCATTCCAATTCCACAAGCAAAAATTGAATTGTGAGTGGTCCCTTACCCATATCTACTCCAAAGTGTGTATCTTACTTTTCTGTAAGTAAGCCAGTGCCCTAGCTTCCTCATCTCATGTTCACATATGGAATTTCTAAGTAGTATTAAAGGATTTGCAGAGTACTTGCCCAACAGAATCTGATACTCAGGAAAAAGGGGGAGATCCACATTTAAACTAAGTCTAATTACAAAAATCAAATTGTCTACATTAGATGATAAGCAGCTTTAGAACTATTTCTATTTCTGACTAGGAGTCAGTCTGATAGTCTGCCAGCTATGTAAAGTACCTTCAGGGGAACAAAGAGTTCCTGCCTGGACCCTAAAGTCTGCTTTGGGGAGGAGTTTCCCTTTTCTGAGTCCTCTGCTTTATTTCAGTTTCCAACTCTGATCCAATAATCTGACTTTACAGAAATAATAAGTAATATGGCAAATAGTATCATTGTCCTCAACTTTATAGCTGTTATTTAATATCCACAAAAACTCTGAACCCTCCTTTTACAAAGGTTGAATAACTCTTGAGTTCATACAACTTGGTTCCCAGGTATTACTTCCTTTGCTCAATGGTTTGTAATTGAGTTTCTAATCTTTGATATGCTCTAACTGAAGCTATCTTGCTCATAAAATAGATGTGAAAGCCTGTTTTATGGCAGGCCTGTGTTCCTTCACATAGTGTTTTCTCCCTGAATACTCAATTTCCAGAGTCAATGTTTTCTTTGAGGTTAAGATCAAGAGACCAAACCAGCAACAGGCAGCTACAACTTGTTTACCACCTCATCTCTGAAATGAATGTTCTTATGACTCTGTAAACATCTCCCCAGTACCCCCTCTCTTCTTTAGCTTTTTCTACCCTCTCTTGATTATATTAACTTTTATCTTACTAAATGTGTCTTTTCTTTCCCAGGGATTTCTTTTATCCTCTGTTTTTCCAGAGGCTTGTTGACATTTAAAAAAAAAAAAAAACAAAACTAATTGATATTGACCTTAGTTCTGCATGTCATTTCAACTGATTTCAGTTTGCTCCCATGCTAAGCTGTTATGCAGTAATAGAAAAGTTGTTTATTCCATTGAAAATCCTAGATGCTAGCATTTTAACATTATTTCCATGGGGTAGAAATTTTGACATATCCAACATTGATACCCAACAATTAAAGTGTTTCCTGTTACACAGCATGTAGTCAATAAGCATCTATCAAGTGAATGAGTGAATTTGGATGTAATTCTTCCAGTTTCTTCTACACAAAGTGAACTGGTATCATTTTCATTTTTTCGGTTTAGTGTCACATTTGAAGACAAGGGGCACTGAAGATGAGGAGTCAACTGAAAAGTATAAACATGTTGGAAATGCAGAATTTGTGTGGCCGAAAGTGGAAGGTCATCACAAAGATTACATGCAGGATTCTAATGTTGATGAATCTTATGATTGGAATAAGATAGAAAATCAGTTGGAAAAATCTGAGGGAAAAAGAATGAAGGAAGACAAAAGTGGCATCAAGGCAAAAATTAGCAAAATCAAAAACACAGCAAATATAAAGACAGAACAGGAAGATGAGACATCTGAGAAAAGTTTATGTTTGAGCTTAAAACATGTTACACAACAGACTGTCCCCATAGAACAGAAAAGCAGTGAACAGGGCAAATGTGGGGAGAGCATTAATGGAAACTCTCACCTGCAGCAGAAAACCAGTGCTGATAAATCACATAAATGTGATGAGTGTGGAAAATCCTTCAAATATAATTCCCGCCTTGTCCAACATCAAATCATGCATACTGGAGAGAAACGCTATGAGTGTGATGACTGTGGAGGAACTTTCCGGAGCAGTTCAAGCCTTCGAGTCCACAAGCGAATCCATACTGGGGAGAAACCGTATAAATGTGAGGAATGTGGGAAAGCCTACATGTCTTACTCAAGCCTTATAAACCACAAAAGCACCCATTCTGGAGAAAAGAACTGTAAGTGTGATGAGTGTGGAAAATCCTTCAACTATAGCTCTGTTTTGGATCAGCATAAAAGGATCCACACTGGAGAAAAGCCCTATGAGTGTGGTGAGTGTGGGAAGGCCTTCAGGAACAGTTCTGGCCTTAGAGTCCACAGAAGGATCCACACAGGAGAGAAGCCCTATGAATGTGACATCTGTGGGAAAACCTTCAGTAACAGCTCTGGCCTCAGGGTCCACAAAAGGATCCACACAGGTGAGAAGCCCTATGAATGTGATGAGTGTGGGAAGGCCTTCATTACTTGCAGAACACTTCTAAATCATAAAAGCATTCACTTTGGAGATAAACCTTACAAATGTGATGAGTGTGAGAAATCATTTAATTATAGCTCTCTGCTCATTCAGCATAAAGTCATCCACACTGGTGAGAAACCTTATGAATGTGATGAATGTGGGAAGGCCTTCAGGAATAGCTCTGGCCTTATAGTACATAAAAGGATTCACACAGGCGAGAAACCTTACAAGTGTGATGTCTGTGGCAAAGCATTCAGCTATAGCTCAGGCCTGGCTGTCCATAAAAGTATTCACCCTGGGAAGAAAGCTCATGAATGTAAGGATTGTGGAAAATCCTTCAGCTATAACTCTCTTCTTCTTCAACATAAAACCATTCACACTGGAGAGAGACCTTATGTATGTGATGTATGTGGGAAAACTTTCAGAAACAATTCAGGCCTCAAAGTCCACAGGCGGCTCCATACTGGGGAAAAACCATATAAGTGTGATGTGTGTGGGAAAGCCTATATTTCACGCTCTAGCCTTAAAAACCATAAAGGAATCCATCTTGGGGAGAAGCCCTATAAATGCAGCTATTGTGAAAAGTCCTTCAATTACAGCTCTGCCCTTGAACAACATAAAAGGATCCATACAAGGGAGAAACCCTTTGGGTGTGATGAGTGTGGGAAAGCCTTCAGAAATAATTCAGGCCTTAAAGTACATAAACGGATCCACACTGGGGAGAGACCATATAAATGTGAAGAATGTGGGAAAGCCTACATTTCACTCTCAAGCCTTATAAACCATAAAAGTGTACACCCTGGGGAAAAGCCCTATAAGTGTGATGAGTGTGAAAAAGCCTTCATCACATACCGAACTCTTATCAACCACAAAAAAATTCACCTTGGGGAGAAGCCCTACAAATGTGATGTGTGTGAAAAATCTTTTAACTACTCTTCACTCCTTTCTCAGCACAAAAGAGTCCACACCAGAGAGAAACCCTATGAATGTGACAGGTGTGAGAAGGTCTTCAGAAACAACTCCAGCCTTAAAGTGCATAAAAGAATCCACACAGGCGAGAAGCCCTATGAATGTGATGTGTGTGGGAAAGCCTACATCTCACACTCAAGCCTTATTAACCATAAAAGTACCCACCCTGGCAAGACACCCTACACATGTAATGAATGTGGTAAAGCTTTTTTCTCAAGCAGAACTCTAATGAGCCATAAAAGAGTCCATCTTGGAGAAAAACCCTTCAAATGTGTTGAGTGTGGAAAATCTTTCAGTTACAGCTCACTCCTTTCTCAACACAAGCGGATCCACACAGGGGAGAAACCTTATGTGTGTGATAGGTGTGGAAAGGCATTCCGGAACAGCTCAGGCCTCACCGTGCATAAAAGGATCCATACGGGTGAGAAACCTTATGAGTGTGATGAGTGTGGAAAAGCTTACATTTCACACTCGAGTTTGATCAACCATAAAAGTGTCCACCGTGGACAGCAGCCCTATAATTGTGAGTGTGGAAAAGCCTTCAATTATAGATCAGTCCTTGATCAACACAAAAGAATTCACAGTGGAAAGAAGCCGTATCGGTGTAATGAGTGTGGGAAGGCTTTCAATATTAGATCAAATCTCAATAAGCATAAAAGAACCCATACTGGAGAGGAATCTTTACATGTGATAGATGTGGAGAGCTACAGTGGCCCCTCACAGAAGAGGATTCATGAGCGAGGGAGTGCTGTAGCTGGGACCAGGATGAACATGTCATTGTAGGAGACAGGGTGTACTCAGTGGCATGGAACTCAGATGAGAGAAGACCCTTATGAATGTAAGAGTATGTGAGCTCCTTATTCATGGCTTATAATGTATTTAGTATAATTGAGACCGTGAATAACCTTTTCTATGTGATTGTTCAATAGCAGCCTTTAAGAAAGGCTTCACTGTCCAGTCCTTATGGCATATAAAATAGTTCATTCATACTGGGGTAAAAACTTAAAGGATTGAGTAAGAAAAAAATCTTCAAGATAAGCAGACATTTCTGGACATACACAGATGAGGAAAAGACTTCAATTGGACATAGAGTCCATCAGAAAGTTTATTATTTCGTTAAATCTTGTGTATAAAAATGTAGGTGATTTGGATAGGGAATTTAATTCCACTCTTAACATTGGTTGGTGGATAAGATCCAAAAAGGGCATCCTACAGGCAAATCCAGGGAGAGGCAGGCTTCAGGGAATACAACTTTATTTAATAGAGTGATCATAAAATATAAATTTGGTATAATTGAATGATTTGAGGTAATGGTAACAAATTCTGAAACAAATTTCAATTTTGTAGAAAGTATAGATGTATAAATCTAACAGGAGATGGAAAGAGTCACTCAGATGCAAGCTAATCAGACTGTAATGTGATATACTGGTTGAAGGGGTGAAACTGTTAAAATTTTTAAAATCCCACAATGGTGAGTATATGATGAGTGAATACCTTACACATTATATGCAAATAAAAGATTCTATCGTAGAAATTCAGCATATTCAATTAAGTATTTTTCAATATGAATTTGCAACTTCCTCACACAGAAAAAAACAAAAACCTGATTAATGCTGAGAAAGGGCATTTTATTGCAGGAACTAAAAAGCTAGGTAACTACCAGTAATTGAAGGAAGGACAGGAGGAAACTCATGCTTCTTAACTATGTTTAATGTTTGATTGTTCTGAAATGTGCTCTTGTTAAGATTTCACATATTGTCTGTTATAAAATGTTATGAATACTTTGTTCAGGGCGCACTCTCTTGGCTGTGAAGAGCCAGATAGTAGTGGAGAGTTAAGGTGGAACACCAATAAAGACATTCCTCAAAAGCAAACAGGCTGTAACATCTTTAGATGCAGCAGCATGCAGTGAAAACCATTCATGTGTTACATCTCTGTAGAGTAAGTTATACCAGACCAAAACAAGGAAGGACAGCAGGGGACTCTTGCCACGGAGTCTCTCTGATTTCATGAGAAATTTGATAGTATCTCCACCAGCAGTGATGCAGAACGAATTAACCCTCATATTGGAGCTGGATCATAATCCCTTGGAGTGGATGAGCTGTATGAGTGATTTGTCACCACATTAAAAACAGTTGTGTTGGGAAGATAGAAGTTAACAAAATACTGTTCACTATGTTGGGTAATTCAAAGAGAGGTTTCTGATAATTAAGTAACCTATCCAAGAATGCTCTGGGTGGGGCCTAACAGGCTGAATTGTAAATCTGATTCCTCTGGCTTTCTATTCTTTGACCAGTTTCCAGACCTCTCATTAGGAGCTTAATTCTTTCACTTTGTGTCCAAACCCCACCCAATAATTTTTGTAAGTGATGCAAGGTGAGGGGGTTGGTTTGAAGAAAGAGGGAATGAACTTATCCCTCACTTTGGAATATCCCAACCACACTTGTTCTTTGACCTCTGCATGTAATACTGGCAGTCCTGGCTCTGTCTACAGACTTGGATTAATTTATTTAGCAAATTCTTGGGGACCTGCCAGCCACATCCATTTTTCTAGGCACTAGGCATTAGAAAGAGATAAAGGACAGATAAGAGAGAAAGTTTAAGTAAAGCTACTGAACTGGGCTTTCAGAAGAAGGTGACCACCCACTGGGAAGAGTAAGACAGTGGTGACATTTGGGCAGTATATTGAATTGGGTGTATTAAGAGAGGACTGGGGTATAGTATCAAAGGCATCATGGGGAATACTCATGCACCCTCCAGAATGTCCAGTCCCTGGCAGGACTTATCCTGTGGGTAGAAAGGAGAGAAACTATGGAGTGTTGATTTCTAGTAGTTACCAAGCATTGATGGGCCCTTAATTCGCTGAAGACAAGACCATCTCTGTTTTAGACAATTAAGTTAATCTCAAGTTGGTGTGGCTGTGACTCAAGGTTCCCCATATACATATACCTACTTGAGTTCTACTTGTACTTACTGCATTTCCCACTTACAGGAGAGACAAATTAAATAACAAAGTGAACAACTACTGTATGAATGGGACTTCTAAGTGCCCTTGATCTCAATACTAGGACACGCTCCTTAGCAGGCCCCAAATGACTCAGTTGCACAGATAATAAGTCATAGGGCCTCTCATCTACGTAGAGCCAGATCTATGCCCCTCAGACAAGTTCTAGACAAGGAGGACATTTGGGATTTCCAGCCATTCCAGGGTAACTTCCAGAGCAAATACAGTGAGCTGGTGTGGCTGTGCTTGTTCAGGACCATCTCCGTATGTGAGCTGGTTTCTGGATTTCTACCTTGAACCACGTCTAGAGAATGACAGTTGCAGCATGCAGTAAATAAAAATAACTTAAAAAAGAGCAGTGACTGTTTTTGTTATACAAGTCTCAATATAAAAGTTAGCTAATAGTAAGTTCAAAGCTGCAAGACCTATATGAAAGAACCTAAAGTGCTTATATTTTTTTAAAGATGTATTTATACATACAGGGGTATAGGTTTGGAGTCCAGAGGGGTGAGAGGATTCATCAAAGACAGCGGGGAACAGAACAGGTAGAATGTCTGAGATACACTGCTGAGGGGAAGAGCCTGCAAGACAGCAACGTGCTTTGCCATGTGGTTCAGCTCCCTGGCTGGGGATCGAAATGCTATAGTAGCTGGGGATAGTTTCATAGTGCTGAGACTTAACCACTTGCACCACCAGGGAGGCCTCTAAAGTGCTTATATTTTTTTAATGAGGCTTAAGATGTTATTTAGTTCCAGATTTTATTATTAAATATATGTGGTAAATTGTTGCAAGCAAGCACTAGCATATAAAGCTAAAATTCTGAACTGCAAAATCTCAAAAGTCTAGGAAAGAAAAAAAATCACTTAAAAATGACATAATTTGTCTATGGTAAAAGTAGGCTGTTTGGGTCCATTTTCCACCAATAAAATGAGAAATACTGTATGTTTATATAGATAGTATCTCTTCCCTTTAAGAAAGCATTTAAAGTAAAAAGAGCAGTTTAAATATGCCATTTTGTCATCAGAGACATGAACAACAAGTGCCCAAGACTGCTGATGCTGCACTTCTCCAGCCACAGAGAAGGAGAGAAACAGGTCAGGGCCAGGCCCACCCAACATGTATTGAATCTTAGAGGAGACTTTTCCAAAGCTCAGCTGTGGTCCAAAAGTAGTACATCCTCAAGATAAACTAAGCCAGATCAAAACCCATTTCCTTCCCTGAACCCCTAATAGGCAACTAGAGGAGCAGCTTTGTCACTAATAGCAGTAGACGAAAAACCAGGAAAAGGAGACATTCATGGCATGGTGGCCACTGACCAGCCCTTGCAACACAGGCTAAAGCAACACAAGGTCTGGCAGAAGCAAACAAAACTTCCTTGGAAAAAGACTTCAATCTAAACCTCAGGTAATCCTTGTGCCCAATGTTAAGGACAGAAATCAGCAAGCAGAGAGATAATCAGAAAGAAAAAAGGCAACATGATGGAAACTAGCAGTAGAGGCTACATATACATCACATACTGAATTGTGTTGAAGTATTGCAGAAGCAGCTGCCCTTAAGATATTTAAAGAATGTGATACAGGAGAAAAAGATTTTATGAATTGAAAGATAATGGTTGAACTTATTCATAATGGTCCTAGAGATAGAAAATTATGAGAAAACACAGAGGGGAAGATTGCATTTAAAGGTTTAAATGATTTAGCATGATTTCAGAGGATGAGGAGAGAAGAAAAGGGGCAAGGAAATAGGACTCAATTTTTTAGAACTGATGAAAAGTACAGTTTTGAAAACAAAAAAATTTAGGATAAATTTATAAAATCACACACTGTAGAAAATGGAAAAAAATTTAAGGCAAAAAAAAAAAATACCTTCAAATGAGCAATAACTAGGCTACTCAAAAATGGAAGAAAAAAAAAATCCAACAAAACTGAAGCCAAAGAAGCGTAATGAATATGTCGGTATAAATGTAGAAAATAACTGTGGAACTAGAATTTTGCACCCATTAAAGTATCTTTCAAAAATGAGGACAAAATAAACACATGACAAAAAATTACTTCATTTATTTCCTATTGATCTTCACTATAGGGAATGTGAAGGAATGCATTTGAATAGAGAAAGTGGTACCAAGTGGGGTTATGAACTGCAAAAAGAAATGAAGAGCAGTGAAAGATATTTGTGGGTAAATGTACCTATATATTTTATACCACACAATAAAAATCTGGAGTTGGTACATTTAAAATACCAGACAACAGTAATATATATCAAGAAAAAATAAAAATGATTAATATATGAGATAAAGTTTTCATCTAGTGAATATATAGTTGAACTTTGAACCACAGATTTGAACTGCCTGGGTTCCCTTGTATGCAGATTTTCTTGTACACAAATGAGGTAAATTTATGGTGTCCATAAATACAGTACAGTACTGTACATATTTATGATTTCTTAATTTTTTTTCATGCAATAAAAAGCTTAAAATTGACCTACATACTATTAAATATCAATTATATCTCAATAAAACTGGGGTGAGGAAACACTGGACCATAAAACAAAACAAATGTTATAAACAATTGAAATCACAAAGAATAATTTTTTATTCAATTAAATAATAAATTTTAGAAAAGATATCTAGGATATTCCCATTGTATGCAGAAATTTACAACTATAATTCTTAACTATGGCTTAAAAAATAGCTTGAACTGAGTGGTATTGAGAATATATCAAGACCAGTGGAGGTATTGTTCAAGCCATGTGAGAAATTTGCATCCTAAAAAGATAATTTAAAAAAATAAAAAACATTATAATGCTCTAAGCACCATCTCAAAGATTTAGAACAATCAAAATAAATCTCAAAAACAGGATGAAATAAAGAAATAATAAAAGGCAGAAATATATGAAACAGAAACCTACACTATAGACAATCAACAAAGCCTAAGTAGTATTTGTGTGTGTGAAAGACTGATAAAGAAGACAAACCTCTGAGAAAAAAAAATACTGTAACCAGTCAGGAATAAAAGGAGGCATATAGAACACATAAAATTTTCTTACTTGAACATACATGACTTCATTGCTCCTGATACTGAGAATAACACACTCTGAATTCCCTGAGTCAACAGCTCTGAGGACAAGACAAAGATAAGTCAAATCACAAGCGTTTCTGAGGTCTGCAGTAGCTTCTTCAGGCCAAAGCCCACCATCTGTACAGAGAGAACTGTAGCTTTTGTTTCCTCAATAAATCCTCTAACCCCTCACCCTCTGGAAAACAGATCTGCTCTTATAACAGTGTGAATAAAACACTCATTCCCTTATAGTTGAATCTCAATAGACTCTAAAGTCTGATGCTATTAATGCTATTAAACTTACTAAAAACAAGATATATCACAATTTTGGAGTAGTTAATTAGAAATTTTAAGTGAAATGAGAACATTCCTAGAAAAATAAAGCTTACCAACTACTAAAGGACTCACAGTTTATGGATCTGTGGAGTATAGGACTGGGCTAAGTTCAGTACCTTGGGGAGGGAGGAGGGAGGGAGGTGGGAAGGGTGGGAAGAAGGGATTGCCAGAAAGGGAAAACCTTAACAGTGGATTTAGAAAAGCATTCCATGGGGAGTACATGTTTCTATTAGCAAATGTGTCTGGAAATGAAAGGCCGAAAAAATAGTATCTTGTAACCAGAGACTCTAGAAGTAAAACAGCACGGAATGAATATGAGTCGTACAATACAAGGGAACTTTTCCCTCATACCTTTCAAAATGAGAGGCCTGTCTCTTTACCAGTTACCAAAAGACCAGCACTGAGGACCTGAAAGTCTACATCAGTCCCTCAGGGGACTTCTCCTGTTTGGGAACCACTTTCCTCTTCCCCAGCCTC